GGTGGCCCGAACCCCCGCCCAGCCCCAGCCACTGGCTCCCACTGAGGAGCCAGAATTTTGTTTTTAGTAAGATGTTTTTGTCATTTCCGTGGAAAAGCATAGGGAAGCAAGTTTGCAGTGATCACAAAAACCGCCTTTTTGCGGTTTCTGTGCAAATCATAAATTTAGTAGATCCCTAGTAATGAGTCTTTTTTTTTTAGAAACAAATATGGTCAAAATTACTTTGAATTGAATACAACATATATTAAAGCTTAAATTTAAATGTGATATTTTGAAGCAAGTAAATGCAAGTGAATATGCTCTATCAAAAACTTGTGAGTTATAGTCTGTTTTTTATATATTAAGAAAGATATATTTTTTGCCTACTTTAGGTCTTGAGGTCAAGCTTTATAAATTTATCAATGGGTCAGATATTGCATTAAGGATGCGGAGCAGTGGTTATCAGCCTTTTTAGACTCAAGACACCCCTTAAAATGCAAGCTCTTAGTTTTCACCTGTTTTTTTTTTCTTTTACTACAAAAACAATAGAGAAATTTTTCTGTTGCAAAGAACTCAGACCACAGCAGGTCAGAATGCTTTTAACACTATGGATTCCTTCTTTAAATATCTGGCTTTATCTTGAGTCATGTTTGCACAGCTAACATTGTGTGGCACCTGGTGGCACCCTTGAATAGTTCTCAAGATACCCCAGGGTGCTTTGGGACCCTGGTTGAGAATGACTGACCTAGAGAACTGGGCTGCTGTGGGTAGGAGACTAGGAAAATTAATTTGGAATTGGCCTCTAACTCCAGAAGACACCATCATGTATTTTATGAGTATCATCCACTGAGTCCACCTGTTAATTATCTTGCAGTATTCATTCACCATTATAAATTATAGAAATATAAAATTAATAAGGGTCTGAAAGTTAATACCTATGTAATTTCTTTAATGTAACCCACTACACAACATTTTTTTTGCTAAATTTAGTGTAAAGGCTCTATTTAGTTGTATATCTACCAATTTTAGTGGTTAAGTGAACCAATAAGAATCCATCTTGAGAAAATAACAGAAATATAAATGGAGAATTTGGTTAAATTTAATTTAAATGGCAGTCACTGTATCTCAAAAATAAATCAAGACAATAAAAACTGCCCAGCTAGTAACATTCTTGAAAATGTTAAGTGCCTATAAATAAAGGTTTAAATTGAAAAATATCCCATCAACACATGTAGCAATCATATTAACCACTCTGTAATGTAGTTTGTTCAGAATTTTTTTGATTTTATGTTTAAAAAATTATTGCTATGGCATCGGTTCTCTCTCTTCCAAGTTCTAAATACATGGTGCCTGGAGCTCTTAATGCTGTGAGATTATATCAAGTACCACAAATCAGAAATGAATGCTTTTTTTATAATTATCCATACAGTGAAGGAAAAGCATGAAGTCATAGAGGACTTGAACACTGGTAAACAATTTTCTTTGTTTTTACAAACTTTTCATAGAAACATCCCAAATTCTCAGAGCTGGGAGTAGTGGGAAGTTTCAGATTTTATTTCCACACCTACCACTGACTTGATGTATGAGTTTGAGCCAGGTGCTAAATTGCTTTGCCTCAGTGTTGCAACTAGAAAATAATTATAACAACATATGCAATTGTAAGAATAATTCTACATGATTATTGTGAAAATTAATTGTCTAGTATAGAAGGAATGTTTGGTTAAACATTGTTATAGCATGTAAAGTATTTTAGTTTTTATATGTAGAGATTCTACAGCAGACAACTTTTTTTTGGAGGTGGTATTTAATGATGATGTGGCTATTCAACGAGTCAGTGGTATGATGGGCATGTAGACTCCACAACCTTTCCAGTGCTTTACTATCCTCCTAGTGAAAGTTTTTCCTAGTGAAAGCCCGTTTCCCTCAGCCTTTCCTCAGAAGTAATGAGCTCTATCCCTCTAACCATTTCCATTGCTCTCCACTAGAGTCTCTCCAATTTGTGCACATCCTTTCTGTAGTGAGGACCCCAAAACTGGACATAGTACTCCAGATGTGGCCTCACCAATACTGAATAGAGGGAAAGAATCACTTTCCTCCATCTGCTGGCAGCACTTCTATTCATGCAGCCCAGTACACAGACTTTCTTCTCAGCAAGGACACACAGTTGGCTAATATTCAACATTTTGTTCACTGTAACCCCCAGGTCCTTTTCTGCAGAGCTGCTGCTCAGCCCCCAGTCCCCAGCCTGTACCATTGCATGGGATTGTTCCATCCTAAGTACAAGACTTTGCACTTGTGTGTTGAACTTCATGAGATTTCTTCAGGTCCAATCCTCCAATTTGTCAAGTTCTCTCTGAATCCTAAGCCTACCCTCCAGCATATCTACTATTCCCTTCGGCTTAGTGTCACCTGCAAACTTGCTGAAGGTACGTTCTGTCCCATCTTCCAGGTTGATAAAGATATTGAACCAAAACTTGCTCCAGGACTGACCCACGGGACACTATGCTTGATACTGGCTGCTAACTAGACATTGAGCCATCAGTTTTTACTACCCTTTGAATCTGACAGTCCAGCCAGTTTTCTAACCACTTTACAGTCCATTTATCTAACCCGTACTTCCTTAGTATGCTTGCGAGAATGTTGTGGGAGATCATATCAGAAGCCTTGCTAAAGTCAAGGTATATCACGTTCACTGCTGTCCCTGCATCCACAGAGCCAGTCATCTTGTCATAGAAGGCTGTCAGGTTGGTCAGGCGTGACTTGCCCCTGGTGAATCCATGCTAACTGTTCCTAATCACCTTCTCCTCCAAGTGCTTAGAAATGGATTACTTGAGAACCTGCTCCATTTTTCCAGGGATTTAAGGTGAGACTGACTGGTCTGTAGTTCTCTGGATCTTCCTTCTTTCCCTTCTGAAACATGGGCACAATATTTGTCCTTTTCCAATCATCCAGAACCTCTCCCGATCACCGCAAGTTTTCAAATATGATGGCCAGTGGCTCTGCAATTCCATTGGCCAACTGCCTCAGCACCCTTGGATATATCACATCTGGCCCCATGGACTTGTATGTGTGCACCTTTTCTAAATAGTCCCTAACTTGTTCTTGCACCACTGTTGGCTGCTTACCTCCTCCTCAAACTGAGCTGCCAAGTGCAGTATTCTAGGAGTTGACCCTGATTGTGGAGACTGAGGTAAAAAAGGCACTGAGTACTTCAACATTTTCTGCATTATCTGTGACTAGGCTGCCTCCCTCAAAGACCCACGCTTTCCCTGATCTTTCTCTTGTTGCTGACCTACTTATAGAAGCCCTTATTACCCTTTGCATCCCTTGCCAGCCGCAACTCCAATATCCCATGTCCTTCCCAATTTCATCCCCGCATGCCAAAACAATATTCTTATGCTCCTTCTTAGTTGTTTGTCCAAGTTTCCATTTCTTGTAAGCTTTGTTTCAGTGTTCTAGGTTACTGATGAATTCCCTATTAAGCCAAGCTGGTCTTCTGTCATACTGGCCAGTCTTCCTATGCATCGCAATGATTTGTTCCTGTACCCTCAGTAAGGTTTCTTTAAAATACAACCGGCTCTTCTGAACTCATTTCCCCCCCTCAGTCTAGCTTCCCAGGGGATCCTGCCCATGAGTTACCTGAGTTGAGTTGAAGTCTGCTTTTCTGAAGCCCAGGGTCCTTACTCCACTGCTCTCCTTCCTTCCTTTCCTCAGGATCCTGAACTCATTCATCTCATGGTTGTTGCAGGCCAAGTTGCCATCCACTTCTTTGTTCCCCACTAATTCTTTCTGGTTTGTAAGCAGCAGATCAAGAAGATCATGGCCCCTAGTTGGCCTCTCCAACACTTGCATGAGGAAGTTGTCCCAACACAAAAACTTCCTGAATTGCCTGTGTACTGCTGTATTGCCCACCCAGCAGATGTCAGAGTGATTGAAGTCCCCATGAGAACCAGGGTCTATGATATGGAAACTTCTGTTAGCTATTTAAAGAGCCTCACCCACCTCATCCTCCTTGTCTGGTGATTTATAACAGAAACCTACCATACCATCACCCTTGTTGCTCTCCCTTCTGACCTGAACCCAGAGTTCTGCAACAGGGCTATGCAGTTTCATACTGTCCCTCCTGAGCAACCATACAGCTCTTTTACATAAAAAGCAATCCCTCCTCTCTCCTCCCCTTCTTGAACAATGTATGCCATCCATGACATTACTCTAGTGGTGCAAACTATCCTACCAAGTCTCTGTTATTCCAGTCACATCATAGTTCTGTGGCTGGACAAGGACTTCCAATTCTTCCTGCTCGTTTCCCAGCTCTGTGTATTTGTGTACAGGCAAACAAAGTCAGTGTAAGAGATTGTTCACGTGGGCACTGATGCAAGATCCAGACTTAAAACTCTATCTGAAAATTAGAGAAGGCCTGTATATTATTTGAAAAATGTGCATCTTAAATGTAATTTTGAGTCTTCAGCCAATTTGTGAATTTAAAGTTGGTATTCAGATAGTGCAGAACATTGTGATTATTACAGTTAATCCTTCTGGTAAATCAGTAGATTAAAAAGACCATAATGTTTATGGGTTAAAATATCTGTGTACTGCAATGTGTGTTATCGTATAACAAATGGAATGCATGCTGCATGTTTGTAGTTTTTCATAAGAGTAGACTTGAAGACATTACTTTTTTAATTTAGCAGATCCCCCCCCAAAGTAGGGTTGGGACAGATCACAGATGGTTCAGCATTGTCTTTACATTTTATTATTGGCATATTTCTCTGAATTCTTTGTACTTTTTCATGCATAATAATATGATTTCTAAATTGTTTATTTCCAATTTTTTTAGCTTTGTTAACACTTAAAATGCTTTTGAGACAACATTGAATTTTGAATGTACAACAGAAGATGACTTCTCACTTCCCCCCACACCCTAGAAGATGTGAAAATGGAAGTAGAATTATTGATACCTTGGTACCCTAGGTCATGTGGCAAAACTGTGCCATGTCCATATTTGCTATGATGCTATTCATGATTGTGCTCTGCCCTTGAAAGTTGTTCTGCATTCTTCCTTGCTCTCCTTAAAGGTACAGTTTAATAGTTTTATACAGTTAAGTTATGTCTTGTGAAAACCGTAGGCTTACAGACACCCTGGGTGTATCTATACTAAATGCTGTGTTTCTGAGCTAAAGCAAGTAATAAGTCATAGAATCATAGAAAGTTACAGTTGGAAGGGGCCTTACGAGGTCATCTAGTCCAACCGCCTGCTCAAAGCAGGACCATCCCCAACTAGATCATCCCAGCCAAAGCTTTGTCTAGCCGGGTTTTGAAAACCCACAAGGACTTCAACTACCTCTCTGGGTAACCTATTCCAATGTTTTTACTACCCTCCTGGTGCGAGAATTTTTCCTAATATCTAACCTAAACTTCGCTTGCTGCAACTTGAGAGCATTTCTCCTTATTCTGTCATCTGCCACCACTGAGAAGTCTAGCTCCATCCTCTTTCAAACCTCTCTTCAGGTAGTTGAAGGCTGCTATTAAATCACCCTCAGTGTTCTCTTCTGTAGACTAAATAAGCCCAGTTCTCCCAGTCTTTCCTCATAAGTCATGTTCCCCAGCCCCCTCACCATTTTGGTGCCCTCCTCTGGACTCTCTGCAATTTGTCCACATCTTTTCTGTAGTGGGGGGCCCAAAACTGAACACAGTACAGTACTCCAGATGTGGCCTCACTAGTGCTGAATAGAGGGGAATAATCACTTCCCTTGACCTGCTGGCAACACACCTACCAATGCAGCCCAGTATGCTGTTAGCCTTCTTGACAACAATGGCACACTGGTGGCTCATATTCAGCTTATCGTCCACTGTAACCCCCAGGTCCTTCTTTGCAGAGCTGCTGCCCAGCCTGTACTGGCTGGTGCATGGGATTGCTCCGTCCTAACTACAGAACTTTGGACTTGTCTTTGTTGAACCTCTTGAGATTCATTTTGGTCCAATCCTCCAATTTGTCCCAGTCGCTCTCAATCCTAGCCCTATCCTCCAACATATCTACTGCTCCCCCCCCCGTTTGATGTCATCTGCAAATACCAGCTGTGCAGTCAGAGGCACGTGTAGACACACCCACTAAGTATTTAAAAAAGATTCACCATATTTTCTTGCGTTTCACAAACCCCCAAATAAGACAAGCACCCTTGTTTCTGGGAAGGCAGAATAAAGCAAAAAGAGTTTTGCAGAGCTAAGGCCCCATAGAGCAGGGACAGAGCCTAATCTTTAACTTGCTTACCCCACCTTTCTTTCTCTGTCAGAAGCTTTTCACAGCTGAATTGTTATATCAGCCAAAAGAAGATATTTTAGCTGTTGAAGACTGGACTACATAGGTGGATCTAGGATTTTGGAAAGAGCTAAAACAGTCTACGGGGCTGTGAAATTGGAGAAGAGATGAGGAGCAGCTAACAGACAGTAGTCAAGGAAGGATTCTTTGATTAGAGGAACATCAAGACTATTAAAAAGGGAAGAAGTCATTAACACCTGTGGAAAGGAGAGCAATTAAGTGGAATTATAATGAGCCATGAAATTAATTGCCTCTGTCAGCCATGCCTGAATAGAAATGCCACTGCTGCTGCCAGGCAGTTGGTTTTAAACTTTGGTTGCAGGAGGAATTAAAGTGTGGTGTGACTGTAACACTGCACTCCCCCTGGATCTACGTCTGCTGGACTCTGATAGTCCTTCCATGCAGCTGGTGGAGGAAAAGAAGCAGCCACCATTTACAAAGTCTCTATGCCTCCATTCTAGGCAAAAAATCAGGTTCCCCACTTAGGACGTGCGTCTTAATTTTGGAAGGCTAATTTTTTGGGGGAAAGTGAGTAGGCATTCAAGTAAATATGATAGATCTATCAGTGCCTATTTTAAACCTTATGGAAACTAAAACAAAAATATCAAAATAGTGTGCTGCCAGAGCTAAACGCTATCAACTAAAAATAAAACACTGTCAGATGAGAATGGAATCAAACAAATTAGGCTCAATGTTGGATTGTAGTTAAATCATCAAAATGGTCCCAGAGCGCGCTCATAAATTCTGAGAAGGTAGATAGATTTAAATTTCAACTAAAAATTGGCACAAGTCAGTTAAATCTGTAATGTATATCTGGTTAGTTAATGCTTAAAACTAAAACCAAATTACTATCTAATGTTTAAACTGCAACCTCAGACTCTATAATAATAAAGTTTCCTACTTAGATGTCAATCCTAATCTAGTGGCCAAAATTTTCCTCTTATCCTCAACATCTGAACACCTGTTAATAATCAGAAGCTTTACACCATTTATTTAATGAAAATTACAGGTGACAATCACAAATCTTTCAAGATTTTTACATAATGCATTTCAATGAGTACTCTACCAAGACAATATTTAGGGCTGTTTTAAATCTGGAGAGCTTTTTTTTTCTGGCATTCGTTCTGTGGCAATTTTTCTAGATGCTTAAGTATGTAGTTCACTGCCACTGTCACACTCTAAAAATAAAGAAAATTAGGCAGCCAGGATATCTCCCAGCTAATAAAAACAAAAAGCTGAGGGGGAAAAAGTGAAAATAAATTCCTTAAAATGATTGTGTACTTGTAAACCAGGGGTGGGCAAAATACAGTCCGCAGGCCAGATTTGGCACACCAAGCACTTTCATCTGGCCCACAGTACCCACCAACAAACTGTGCGCTGTCCAGCCCTTCTACCCACAGGGGTGGGAACCAGGTGCTCACATATACACACAACCCCAAACATACCCTACTGCTTCGCTCCTACCCTCATGGGCAGAAGGGCCTAACTAGCCAGCAGCAGCTTCCATGCGAGGCTGCTGGTGCAGCCCCCTGGGACCTTCTCCACTTCCCCAGTCTCTTGCTGGCTTTGGGCAACAGGTAGGGAAGCGGTGGCATTGGAGCTGCAGCTGGGCAAGAGCATGGAGCTGGGGCTGGTGGCAGCACAGAGCCCACGTCCGAGGGTGGGGGGGTAACAGCGAAGAGCTTGGGTAGGCAGCGTGTGGATGTGGGGGGTGTGGGGACCCCCCCCCCCACACACATACACACGCACACTCCCACTATGGCACACAGCCCTGGCAGGTGGTGGCAGCAGCAGTAGGAGGGGCACTCAGCGTTCAGATGCTGAGTGGGGCACAACTCTGCTTGCACTGTACATCTCAGTGAGAGATGCACCTCTGCTGGGCAGTCTGAATCACCAGCACTCTCTGCCACTCATGCGCAGCCTCCACATTTGCACAGCATGGGAGGGAAGCCCCAGCACTGGACCCGACTGCCTTCCCCTCTGGGGCTGTGCAGTACAGGAGAGAAGCCTCAGGTGCTGGAGCCAGCTGCCTTCCCCTGCCCACCAGAAGGTGCCTGGGGTTTCCCTCCACTGCAGTGCAGCCCTGGCAGGGGAGTGGTGCGGGGGTCCAGCCACACCCCCTCACAAACCCCACACACACACGCACACACACACACACACTCACACACACACACACACACACATCCCCACCATACACCTCCCTCCACAATGTACAAAACTAAGAATTTATTTTTGAGTTATTATGCAGTCACCTCTTTATACAGTATGTAAAGACAAATCAAGACAAATATTTTTGTAATAAAATATGTTATAGTAGATGTTTGACTTCTAGTGCATGATTTTTTTTTTTTTCTGGTTCTAACACGGGAACAACCCCCCCCCCCCCCCCACACACACACACACACACACACGCACGCATATGGAGTATTCCGGGGGGCAAGGGGAGGGACTTCAGGAGCAAAGGTCAGGGGTTAGAGGGTGGGACTTCCAGTCCCAAGATGGTGACAAGAGGGCAGAGCAACTGTTAAGGGACGGGACTACCCATGTGGCCCGTGACAGCTCACCAAAACTTACTAAGTGACCTTCCACCCAAAATAATTGCCCTCTCCTTTTGTAAACACTTCAGCTCTCTCTTCTGGATTCCTAGAGAGAGAGAGCGAGAGCTAGAACTTGATGCATGGCTGGCACAGTGGTTCTTACACGTGAATCTTCCTCAGTGCAGGGAAAGGATGGGGTTGCTCATTTGTATGGTTTAGTTTCTACAAGGTGAGAAGTTTTGGGGATTTGCTGCCTGTCTTGCAGGGCTCCCCATGGTTCCAGAAATTTGGCAGCTGGGGAGCAGCCCTACAGGCTGGATGCGGCTCATGGGCTAAGGGGCTGAACACTCTGGTTCTCTGGTTTTAAAATATTCTTAGCCTAAGACCTTCAAAGGGGAGAGCTGAAATTCAGGAGTTGAGGAGAAGAAGCAGCGAGTCGTTTTTACCATGTCTGTTTGTCTCTGTGACTTTATTTTCCTTTCAAAAATGTTGTTTCATTTCTTCTCTGTCTGTCTGTCTAAGAAGTGTGTGTGTGTGTGTGTGTGTGTGTGTGTTACGGGTGCACGAAGCTTCAGTGACCAATTCGATTTGGCCTGATTTTGAAGGTCAAGTCACTGAATCCAAATCGAATCGGGAGATGAAAAAAACCCTCTGATCAATTCAGAGCCTCTGAATCCATTTGGAAAAGATTCGGAGATTCAGCGATTCAGAAGGCAGTCTTGCAAGGAAACAGAAACTAAGAGGAGGGAGAGGGAGCAAGGGGGGAAAAGACTGACAACTGTAGCTGGCTAATGACTGATCTTTCCCTGACTCCCCCTCCAATCACAGTGCTCTGGGGGAGGGACATAGAAACATCACAAGTCTCTGTCTGCAGCCTTTCTGTCCCTTCTGTGAGCTGTTTCTGCCTGAGCACTGGGAAGGTCCCCTATTACAGGCTACCATCCTTGCTGTTTTCATCCTGCTGTGCCTTAACACACACACAGTCACACGTGTCACGAGTTTTGCTTTCAGAAGCTTGAGTCACAGTTTCCCAGAAACCCCTGTACCTATCTCCCTGAAACTTGGCAGGCCTCGTGCCCTCAGAAGGGGCTACCAACCCTGGTATTTTCATCCAAATCTGCCTTAACACACTGACCAAGTTATAGGTATTTCACTGATTCCCCATTATAGTCTTGGCCGAATCACTGAATCTCGCCAAATCTTCCGAAGCCGATTCAAGACA